ATCGCTGCGCCCGCGGCCGCGCTCCCGCGCTCTCGCGAGACTTCGCCGCGGCCGCAGGGGCGGGCGGGGCTCGGGAGGCAGCACGCCCCGCCCCCTCAGCGCTGCTGGAAGCGCGGCGGCGCCCGCTGTGGAGCTCCAACGGAGCACCGACCGCCCGTTAGCCGGCCGTGCGCCGCGGTGGGCCCCACAGCGACCCGCCGGCGGCTTTAGAGCGCAGCGCGGCGGAGCGGGAGAGCGGCGGGAGGCCGGGCCGGCGGGGCGGCGGCGGCGCCGCCATGGAGCTTTGTTGCGGGCCGGGCGCTAGGGGGCGCTGTCCCCGCCCCGCGCCCCGATAAAGTTGGCCGGGAGGGCGCCGCCGGGCCGCGCGATTTGGCGGCTCTCGCGAGAGGAGCGAGCGCGCGCCCCCGCCCATCTCCGAGAGGACTCGCGGACGAGGAGGACTCTGCCGGGAGCGGAGGGAGGGGCGGCGGCGGCGGCGTTATCGCGAGAGTTGCAGGCGGGTCTCGCGAGAGTTGGCGGTGCCCCCGGACGGCGCCGCTCCGGTTCGGGCAGAGCGCGGGGGCCGGGCGGGCCTGGGCCCCGCGGATGAGGCGGTGAGGCCGCGGCGCTCCCCCCTCCCCTCCCGGGGCCTTCCCCCCTCCCCTCCCCGTCCCTCCCGCCTCCTCCGGGGCCTCGCGCCCCGCTCCCCATGTAGGAGGGAGGACCGAGGCCGGCGTGGATGGTGCGAGGGGCGGGCGCGGAGGGAGTTTGAAGTTGGGGCCTTCCGCGGAGTCCCCCCCTCGCCGTTGCCGAGGAATGCCAAATCCGGAGAGACATGGCGGCAAGAAGGACGGCGGCGGGGGGTCCTCGCAGCCGGGCGGCGGCAGCTCCAACAGCAAGGAGAGGCACCGGGCGGGCTCCAGGCACAAGAGGCACAAGTCCAGGCACTCCAAGGAGTCGCCGCTGGCGGCCCAGGAAGCGGCGGCGCCCCTGGGAGCGGTGATCAAGCCGCTGGTGGAGTACGATGACATCAGCTCGGACTCGGACACCTTCTCGGACGATGTGGCCCTCAAGCTGGACAGGAGGGACAACGAGGAGAGGAGGGCGGAGAGGAGCGAGAGGGCGCAGAAGCACCGGCACCACCAGCACAAGCGGCTGCGGGAGCTGATGAAGAGCAAACAGGCGGAGAAGGACAGGAAGCTGGAAAAGAGCCTGGATGCTTCCAGCAGGTCCGCCAAGGAGAGGATCTCGGGATCCTCCAAGAGGCTCCTGGAGAGCGAGGAGCACCCCAAGGCGCTCTCCTCCAAGAGCAGCAACAAGGAATCGCGCTCGGCCAAGGCGCACAAGGAGAAATCCAGGAAGGAGCGGGAGCTCAAGTCCAGCCACAAAGAGCGCAGCAAAAGCCATCGCAAAAGGGATGCTCCCAAAAGTTACAAAACCATCGACAGCCCCAAGAGGAAATCCAGGAGCCCGCACAGGAAATGGTCGGACAGCCCCAAACTGGACGACAGCCCCTCGGGAGCCTCCTACGTGCAGGAATACGACCTCAGCCCGCCCCGCTCGCACACCTCCAGCACCTACGATCCCTACAGGAAAAGCCCCGGCGGCTCCTCGCGCCGCCAGTCCCTCAGCCCGCCCTACAAGGAGCCCGTGGGCTACCAGTCCAACGCCCGCTCGCCCAGCCCCTACAGCCGGCGGCAGCGATCCGTGAGCCCCTACGGCCGGAGGCGCTCGTCCAGCTACGAGCGGGGCAGCGGCTCCTACAGCGGCAGGTCCCCGAGCCCCTACAGCCGCCGCCGCTCCAGCAGCCCCTTCGCCTCCAAGCGCTCCGTGAGCCGGAGCCCCATCGCCAGGTGCGTGGGGTGGAGCTGGGCAGGGGGAGGGAGGGGATGGGAGGGTGGGGAGGGGTGTTCAGGGGAGTTTGGGGTGGTGGGGTTAAGGGGGAGGTGGGTTTGGGTGGGATATTGGGGAAAAGTTCTTCCCTGTGAGGGTTTGGCATGGTTTCCCTGGAGGTGTCCCGAGGTTGGACAGGGCTTGGAGCAAGCTGGGATGTGGAAGGTGTTCCTGCCCGTGGGATGATGGTCTTGAGGGCCCTTGGCACCCCAAACCATTCCATGATTTTGGAATTGCCACCCCAAACCATTCCATGATTTGGGAATTGCCAACCCAAACCATTCCGTGATCTGGGAAGTGCCAACCCAAGCCATTCCATGATTTTGGAATTGCCACCCCAAACCATTCCATGAATTGGGAATTGCCAACCCAAACCAATCCACGATCTGGGAATTTCCAACCCAAACCATTCTGTGATTTGGGAGTTGCCAACACAAACCATTCTGTGATTTGGGAGTTGCCAACACAAACCATTCCATGATCTGGGAATTGCCACCCCAAACCATTCCATGGTTTGGGAGTTGCCAACACAAACCATTCCATGGTTTGGGAATTTCCACCCCAAACCATTCCATGATCTGGGAAGTGCCAACCCAAACCATCCATGATCTGGGAATTGCCAACCCAAACCATTTCACGATTTTGGAGTTTCCAACCCAAACCATTTCATGAAATGGGAATTGCCAACACAAACCATCCATGATCTGGGAATTGCCAACCCAAACCATTCCATGATCTGGGAATTTCCACCCCAAACCATTCCATGATCCTGTGATTCCTCTCCTCCCCACTGGTGCCCAGTTTGGCCCTGGAGTGGCGTGTGTGGAGTTGCTTTGGTGGGGGCCTTGACACTTCCCTTGGGAATGGGGTTGGCACTTTGGGAAAGGTGGCAGGAGCAGCTCTGGGGTTAAGTTACAGCCACCTCTGGAGTGGAAGCTCCCAGAGCAGGATCCCAGAGTGCTCACTTGGCAGGAAGTTCAGCCATGGGGAATGTTTTCACCTGGTTTGGAGGGTTTATCTGCTTGCTGCGTGTGGGAACATGATCTTGCTTCTCAGGAGGGCTCCTTGGGGGTGGATTTTGCTCTTTCTGAACTGTCTTGTCTTTTCTTTCCCCTTGGATTAGAGACAGCCACGTGCAAACTCCATCTCTCAGCCTAAACTTTCTTTTCTCAGCACTAGAATTTCTTCCCTTCCCTTCTGAAATCTGGCCAGCCTGGAAGGGCGAGGATCAACCAGCTGGATTTTGGCTTACCTCTAATTTTTTCTCTTTTCCCCTTTTACTCCAGAAGGAAACAATTATTTCAAGGTAGCTGTGTGTTTTATTTCAGGTGTTCATTAATCATCCTGTGCCACAGCCTAACGTTGATCTTTTCTTTTTTCTGGCTTACATTCAGTGAGTTTCCAGTTGTCTCCATGGATGCTGTGGAGCTTTGCTTGGAGCTCCATGGCAATTCAGATGTGACCTGGAATGCAATGGCCATAGGAATGCTCTGCTCTGTGCTTGCTGTGCTGCATCCTCCAGCTCAGCAAAAGCACACAGGCCTTTTGGAATTTGCTCTTTGTTACCACAGCTCTGAACTTCAGGAGTGCTGTCTTCCATGGAGAACTTGCCTTTGTCCTTGCTGGCAGTTCTGTGTTGGTTTCAACCCCCTGGAAGCTCTGACGTAAAATCTCTGTATTCCACTGTGGTTTTACAGTGCAAATTTCCTCCAGGCTGCTCCTCCTCTGGCCTGTTTTCTGTGTGTACACCTGGGAGGCTCTCAGGGAGAGGCCTGGGTGCTTTTCTCCTCCTTCCCTTCAATCCTTTTTGCCTGCTGCTGCTGCTCTGACACGTTATTTACCATCCCTGTGGAAGAGTCAGGGTGCAGTCAGTTCTCTGAGATGTGGCCCAGAGGCCAGCCCTGAGCAGGGAGAAGCCATTGGGAGCTGCAGAGGCATCCTAAGAGTTTCCTTCCCAGGAGAACCTCTCTGTGTGAGTGGCTGGCTGCTTCTGAGTGCAGAAATCCAAGTTACATTTCCCTGATTCATGGGAACAACTTCAGAGCACTTTGTGTCCCTAAACTTTCAGAGCTGCTTTCTAAGGACATCTCTGACTCTTGACTGAATGCTGGACCCCAAAGCAGACAAGTTCCAAAGGTTACTCACTGTTTACACTCAGCTTGTACCCAACTCTCTGCCTTGGTAGCACTGCTCTCTCTTTCCTGGGCAGATAACTCACTGTGTGAGGTATTCCAGCCCTTTGGAAAACACCTGCCTGCAGTGTAGCAAAGGGACACAGGGAATTTCACCTGATTTCCATGTGTCAGGTGAAGCCTAAGCTGTAATTCATGTGTTAGTTTTGCTTTGTGGAGCTCCCAGGCTGTGAGGTGAGACTGGAGGGGGGAACTTTTGGTCAGGTGTGTCCAGGGAGGCTCAGGGCTCACCTGAGGGAGAGGGTGGGCAGAGCCTTCCTCACCTTGACGTGCTGCAGATGAATTTGCAAGGAGGCAGCTGACTTTGGGCAGTGGCTGATCCCTTCTGTGCTTCCTGTGGAGAGGCAGGAACATTTTTTGGGAGAGAGAAAACCTCTTTAACTGGCACACTCAGGCAGGGAACACCTGACCATGGCTTGTGTTCCTCAAGCTTTTCTGGGACACTCCTTTATTTCCACTGATTGACAATATGGGGTTTGGTTTTTTTTTAGTGCATTCTGTGTTTTCTTTCATCTCCATGTCCAAAACACATCATTAGGGAGCTGCACCCGTGTGCTGTGCTGATTGGAGAAAATCCAGAGTGTTTGCATTTGCAGTGGCTGTGGAAAACAGCTCACTTCCCATCCAGGAGGAAACCAGGATGATTTGGTCAGGAGGGAAAATAACAGATGTGCTTTGCCTTTCTGTGTGGCCACTGTTGTCTCTGCAGCTGAAACAAGGAGATGGAATTCCAGAGCTTGCTGGAGGTGGGGTGTGCTGAGTGTGTAGTGAGGTGTGAAAGGTTGCTGGGCATTCAGAAATAAGAATTAAAGCTTGTTTCCTGGGAAATTGGAGCAGTCAGGCTTCCCAGGTAGTGTTTTCTGCTTTATCCTTAACTCTGTGTTGTTTAGAGCAGGTAAAATACTGAAATATTTGTAGGTGATTTTGGGTGGATAATAGGGAATTATGTGGATGCTAACCCTGTTAACCTTGGCCACCTCAGCATGGAAGGTTCTAGCATTCACCTCATCCCAATCTTCTGATTGTGTGACTTAAATAAATCTCATAGTGCTTTTTAATTTGGATTTTCAGATGAAGCCATCATTTCTTTGTCAATTCACAGCTGTCATGGTTGGTATCTTTTATTTCTGTTTTCCAGTTCTGGAGGGACAGCAGGGTGGGTTTTACTCCCAGAGCATTTTTATCCAGAATGAGGAAGGAATGTGAGGCTGAATTGCCCCTCATCCATCCTGGAAAACCTTGAAAAAGCAAATAAGGTGTGGAATGCTACACCAAGGCTTCACAAATTAGGGAGGAAAGGGGTAAAAGTGCTATTAAGGGCTGCAGGTAAAGCCACAAAAAATCATTCCAGAAGATGGAAATTGCTTTATTCCAGAAGCAAAACCTTCCTGTGCATCTTCTGCACTTTATAGCTTGTTTTATTTGAGATATGCAGTGATAAAAGGCCTCTCAGCAGGTGCTGGGTTGGTGGTTTTGGGGGCTGTTGATGCTCTGAGGATGGGAGGTGAGGTGGTTTTGAGCTGGGAGAAGCTGGATGTGGAGCCTTTCTCAGGTCTCACAAAGCAGTGTGAACACCAGGTGGAAAACAGGCCTGGAAACAGCATTTATTTGTGTGGGAACTGTAGGCAATTCTTGTTAGTGAGGAGAAAAAGGGGTGAGGGCTGCCTGTGAAGAGGACTGGGAGGAAATGGGTGAATTTATTCCTTCAATAATTCCGGGTGGATTTGTTCCTGGAATAATTCTGGGTGGATTTATTCCTTCAATAATTCTGGGTGGATTTATTCCTTCAATAATTCCTGGTGGATTTATTCCTGGTGGAGCAGAGGGCTGTGGATATTTGCTGCTGGAAGGTCAGGGAGTCATTCCAGCCCTGGGAAGTGCTGGTTCTGTGGTGCAGCAACCCCTGTGAGAGGATCTGAGCATTCCAAACTTCCCCACCCTCACCTGCCCTGCTCCAGGCAGGTGTCCCTGGTGGCTGTTTCTAAATTAGCACCATGAAATAAGGTAAAATTGGACTTTTGGAGAAGTTTACTTTGATCTGTTTGATTGCTCTGCATCCAGCTGGGGCTGCCCCTGGATCCCTGGCAGTGCCCAAGGCCAGGCTGGGCAGGGCTGGGAGCACCCTGGGGCAGTGGAAGTGTCTCTGCCATGGCAGGGGTGGCACTGGATGGGTTTTGAGGTCTCTTCCAACCCAAACCCTTCATGATCCCATGAACTGGAGTAACTCCTGGGGGTTCTCATGGGGCAGGATGGAAGACAGGGAGCTGGAGAAGGGGCCCTGCAGCATCTTGAACAATCCATCCTGGATGAATTGCAGTAGGGAATGTTCACCCCAAAACTTTGTGGTTGCAGTCAGTGACACCCTACAGAATTCATCAGGAATGTTTTCCATAACCTGCAAATGTCTTGGAGCTGCTGAAAAGGTACCTGCTGTCCCAGCTCGTGGTGCCAGACAAACTGCAGCCCAGGCTGTCAGCTCACTGAGCAGAAACCTTGGAAAAAGGTGATCCTGAGGCAGCATTCCTGTGGCAGACAGTGTGTGAGGAGGGAAACAGCTGCAGCTTTTCTCTCCTTCTGCTTGTGTATTTATTTTCTAAGTGTAATGGTGAGGATTTACCTACAGCCCTGCTGTTCTTTGACCACTCTCAGCACGAGCTTTGGGCTGGTGCTTCCAAGTGGGAGAGAGGAATTCTGATCCTTGGAGTTTCCCCTGGGGAAACCCTTCACCTCCCACGCTCACAGCTGCCCCTCCTGCAAGGTGCTGCTGCTGTTGGGACAGGAACTTTCTGTTGTCTCATTTCTGCAGTTTATTTGCCAAATGTTTATTGTCTGGGGATAATACTAATTGGTGTTGTTAATTATGTTGTGAGTATGGTTACAAGGGAGCCAGTGTCACCTGTGTTTGAACTGCTGCTGTTAAATGTGTTTAGTAACTGCTGTGGGGCTGTTTTGAGGGAATTCTGTGTTTTCCAAATTAGATGTGTCCTGAGTGGAGTGTCGTGTCTGTCACAGTGTTTGAACTCAGAATTTTTGGCTGTCCTGTTGCCATCAGAGCCCACCACACCATTAAAGCCTCCTGCCTCACCCTGCCCAATCCTTGTTCCTCCTGGAGTGGAGGAAACACTTCTGCCTTATCAGGAATTTGATATAAGCACTGGAAGGACCAGTTTCCACTTCCATTTTAGTGTTTATCTGGTTTCCCCATCAGGTTCCCCTCTCTCCTGAGCAGGTTCATGTGGGAGAGCCCCGATGGTGTGAGGTGTTTCCTGCCTTGCTTCTCTCCCAGCCCAGATTTTCTGTGATTATTTCTGCACACACACCTGAATTAGAGCCCATTTTTGTACAGGAACACCTTGACCAATAGATTTTAAATTCCTGGTGTTTATTTTTTCTTTTTCCAAATCCCACCATGCAAATTTGAGTTGTGATAGCAGTGAAAGAACCAGGGGGGTGAAAGCAGCTTGAAGTGCCCGATTTCCTGAGGCAGCATTCCTGTTTTATCCATGCTTTCCTTCAAAGTTCCACATCATTCCTGTGAAATATTCCTAAACTGCCAGCTCATCCTCTTGACTGGAGCCTCCTGTTGGGTGTGTGAGCTGTGATCTCCTCCTTCCCTTGGGCCTTGTCCAGCCTTGATCCTTCCCTTCTCTTCCCGGTGTGCCGGCGGGTCTGGCACAGCAAGGGTGGGTGATGATATCAAACTGGTGGGTGACCTAAAACTGCTCCTGATTGACTCAGAAACTCCTTTCAGTATCTCCACCCTCTCCTGACAGGTGTTGTGACCTCTCTGAGCTGACCAGTAAGACATTCAGCCGTTGCTGAGCAGCTCAGAGGGTGAGAGAAGCTCCCTTTCATTTCTCTCCCCAGGAAATCCGTCAAGTCCCGGAGCCGCAGCCCTGGCTACTCGAGGCACTCATCTCACAGCAAAAAGCAGAGGTCTGGCTCTCGCAGTCGCCATTCCAGCATCTCCCCAAGCAGGCTCCCACTGAACTCCAGCCTGGGAGCAGAGCTCAGCAGGAAGAAGAAGGAGCGAGCGGCCGCGGCGGCCGCTGCAGCCAAGGTGGACGGGAAGGAGGCCAAAGGCTCCCCTGTTTTCCTGGCTAGGAAGGAGAACAGCTTGGCTGAGCTGAAGGAGGCTGGGACAGAGTCTAAAAAAGTCACCAAAACTGTTAAATCTGAGAAAGCTCCGGACACGGACTCGGTGAATTTGCTGTACACCAACACAGAGCCTAAAGCCCCTGCGGAGACAACGAAATCCAAGGCAGAGGAGAACTCGGAGAGGAAACACCCTGTTCCACTTAGGGATTCCAAACCCACGGGAACAAAAGACTCGAAGCCTGTAGCAGTGGTAGAGGACCTGGTATCTCCAAAGGAGACAGACCCAGCAGAGAAGGAGATTCCACCTCCCCTCCCCGCCATCAAATCCCCTCCTCCACCTCTGCCCACCACCACCCCTCCGCCTCCCACGCCGCCGCTGCCGCCGCTGCCTCCGTCACCCGCTGCCCCACCTTTGCCTCCAGCCCCAGTGACTCCTGTTCAGGTTCCTCCTCCAGCCCCAACGTCTTTGCCATCTTCTTCCCACCCAAGGACGTCTACTTTATCCTCTCAGGTGAACTCCCAGTCCTCTGTGCAGGTGGCTACAAAAACCCAAGTGTCTGTGACGGCTGCTATCCCACACCTGAAAACTTCCACCTTGCCTCCGCTTCCGCTCCCCCCTATTTTAGTTGGGGAAGATGACTTGGATAGGTAAGGTCACACCACAGCATCCCCTTTGCATTTAAGAGCAAAGCCTTGAATAAAGAGGGGTTTGGGGTTTTTTGGGGTTGGTTTTACAGTTATGAGGTTATCCTGCAGAGTACGACTGTGGTGTTGGTTTAAAGGAGTTATCCCAGGGCTGTTCCAGGTGCTGGCCCTGCCAGGTTTGTGTGGAGGGTTTTATGGTCTCGTGCAGGTTGTTGCCTCTTATCTCTGTGGGAAACAAGAGGTTTGGCTGCTGCTTGGTAAAGCTTTCACATCACTCCTTGCTCCTGTTTATTACAGGGATGGAACTTGGATCTGGGGTTTTGCCTCTCTGTGTTGGAGCTGTTTGCACCCTTACTTTAAAATTACATTTTTTTGTTTGCTTAATTCTTTAAAACTTGTACTCAAGGAACAGGAAAAAGCTAAAAAAATCTTAACAAGTACACAAACCAGAGCTTTTTCTGTTCCTGATTCACCAGCCACACAGGCCATGCCCATGTGTAAAACCAGCATTGGTTTAACTTGAGTATTGTCTTAATTCTTGAGTAATTGATGCAAGCAATTCATTGCTTGAGAAGCAGGTATTGTTTGTTTGAAAAGTTTAAAAATGAGTGAAACTGTACCTGCTTCAACTTTATTTCCTGATCATTTCTGATCAAAACATGCAGACTTGGCTCTGTCCTGTGATTGCAGCTCTGGCTGGCTGCTGGTGGTTGGGGCTTCTGTGATGAATTTCTCTGAAAACCCCACTCATGGGGTTTCTTTTAGTGGGAAGAAAGGAACAGAATAACCAGAATGAAGTGGAGAAGAAAAAAAACCCAAATAATTGTTTTTTCCTCTCCTTTTCTAGCTGTTAGTATGTTACAGTGCCATTAAGGTCATCAGTGATTTTTTTTTTTTAAATTTGATCTGCTTAGCCTGTAGTTCCTAAAACCTCCTCTATCCTCCCAGTCATCCCTAAAGATGTGCTGGGACTGGGGAGTAAAGCACATTTTCAGTGACCAGTGTGGTATCCCACAGTCCTGACTCAATACAGTCACCCTGTGGTGAAGTGTTACATATTCTGAATAATTGAATTTATTCTCATGGATGATTCTGGTATTGATGGCAAGCAGGGAAATGTTCTCACTGCCTCCAACCTAAAAGTGAGGTTGGTGTGTGTTTGTTGCCCTCCCTGTGTGATGTTGTTCAGTAAATATTACTGGTTTTAAATGTTTGTGCTGAGCAGGAGCTTTGAGCTGCCTGCTGATTTTCCCAAAGCAAATCCTGCTGCAGTGTTCCCTCCTTTCCAACCCCAGACAAATTTCTATTTTATTTTTTCAACCACTCACACCTAGAGCTCTTTTTTTTTTTTACCACCCAGCTCTGTAAAAGTGTTTTATCCCTGACCCCAGGGCTGGGGTGATGAGGGTGATGCTGGGGCTCAGTAAATGCCTCTTTTTCCCAATAAAAGGATGGGAAATCCCCCTTGTTTTGCTGAGTCTGGTGGCAGTTCCATGTGGCCCTGACAGTGCAGAATCTCACCCTTCACCAGTGGCCTTCATTTTTATGAGCAAAACTCTTTGAGCTGGACTTTTGTCCTTGCTGAGCCTGGGGAATGTTCCAGCCCCAAGCCCGTGGCAAATACAGGGTTGGAAATGGGGTTTTGAAATGCCCAAGGACAGAATTTATTCAAGTGGAGATTCTTTAACCTCTCCAGAATTACCACCACCTTTTTTAGGCTTGGCTGGGGAGCTCCAAGGAGCTTTTGTTGTGTTCTTGGTGTCTCTTCTTGGTCTTTTCTCTGCAAAGGAGCTCCAAGGAGCTTTTGTTGTGCTCTTGGTGTTTCTTCTTGGTCTTTTCTGTGCTTGGGCAGCTCTGCAGGCTCTCTTTGGCTTCCTCCCCCTGGTGACCAGCCCAGGTGTCCTGGGGGAACTGAGCTTAGAGGAACCAAGTGCTGATGTGCAAATAGAGGAACTGAGCAGATAAAAGGCAAGAAAATGGGAATTTTTGGTAATTGAGAACTGGTAATTGGTGATTTGGAACATGAGCACTGTAGGTTCACTCTCCAGACACGACTTCACCCTTCCCACCATGGTTTTACAAAGAAGTTGTTTTAATTCTGGACAAAGGCTGAGTCTTTTTGTGGTTTAGTGATGAATGTGAGTGTTCATGGTTGGACTTGATCTTTTCCAGCCTTAACAATTCCTTGTGATTCTCTGTGGATATTTGAACATGATTATTGTGCTTTGAAGCATTTTGCTGTCAATGGGGGGAGTTCCAGCCCATCTACCTCTCCTATTTCTGGTGTTTTTTATCTTCCTCCTTCCTTAAGCAGATTTCACAAGAGATTGTCGTGCAGATTATTAGGCAGTGTCTAATAAAATAATTGGCAAAATGACCTACTTCCATCAGTTCATTTATTCTAAAGTGTTAGAGCTGATGGTTCAAACACCAAATCTGCTCCCTGCCCTAAAAGCAGACCTGGGAAGGCTGTTTGGATCTCTGCATTTTTTCCTTTTCCTGGTGAAGCAGAGAATTGCATGGAGAATTCATGACTACTCAAATCTAGGAATTCTCCTCACAAAATACATGAAAGACAAAGTAGGTTCTGCTCCTGCCAGCCTAAACCAAACTCCTGATAATTTAAATCAACTTTTGGTTCCTCAGCAGCATTTGGGAGTTAAAGCCACATTTCAGTCCTTGCTGAAAGGTTAAAAGTTCCTTGTGGAGGGAGGTTTAGCTCTGGCTCTGTAGTTGTAGTGGTCCTCACCAAGTCAAGCACTTCATTTCATGGTGATAAATGGAGTAAATAGAGGAAGTAAAGGTCAGCAAGTGGGTGCTGCCTGATCCCCTGAGCTGCCTCACAGGAAACTCTGAATTACTGCTTCTGATTTGTGCAAACTGAGCAAGTTCTAGTGCTGACCTGTGTGTTCATTTTATGATGTGTTCCACTCTGACACTTTTCTCTCCTGGTGTATGAACATTGTGAATTTAAGCTGCTTTATTTTATATTTGAATGTGCTGATTTTGACACTTAAACCTCACATTGTCAACTAAAGCTGTTATCCTGCAGTAGTTTATTTAATTTTTGTTTGTTTGTTTAACTGGCTGTTGAGTCTGACTTTTGTGTTGTATTAACTTTTCGGAGTTTAGTCCAAAAGAGATTCTTCCTCCAAAACCTGTGAAGAAAGACAGAGAGCAGAGACCACGACACTTACTCACGGACCTCCCGCTCCCCCCCGAGCTCCCTGGGGGGGACCCATCTCCTCCTGACTCCCCAGAACCAAAGGCAGCCACACCACCTCAGCAACCCTTCAAAAAGAGACCAAAGTAAGGCTGACTTCTTATTTTTTTAATTAATTTTTTTTTTTAAATCTTCAAGTCTCCCAACTGGTTTGAGGGTTTTTATTGAGGGAAGTGAGATAGGAGAGAAAACAAGTTCCTATTTCTGTATTATTCAGTATAATGGCTGTTTCCTGTGGGTTGTTTCACATTTGGACCCTCAGCTAAAGGCAGCTTGTCCCATTTATTGGAGAATTAATGGTAGAATTAATGGAGTGTGTCATGTCCAATCTTCAGCCACATCTACCCCAGAAGCTGTTTTCTCTTTGATTTAGCCAGAAGAAACCTCTGGATGAGCATCTCTGTATAAAACTCTTGTTGCTTTCAAAAGTTGGTTGTTCCAAATTGGAGATTTGGACTCTTCACTGGCACAGGGTGCCCAGGGAACCTGTTCCTGAATCCCTGAAAGTGTCCAAGGCCAGGCTGGGCAGGGCTGAGAGCACCCTGGGATAGGGAAAAGTGTCCCTGCCCATGACTGGATCATATTTCATGTCCCTTCCAGCCATTCCAACCATTCTGAAATTCCACCATTCCACATTCAAGGCATAGAGAACTTCCCCTGATCACAAATTTCAGCAATTATTGAGGGAGCAAAATCCCCTGACGTTTTGTACAGAGTGTTTTCAATAAAATAATCAAACATCCAGATGTTTAAAATACCCCAGAAAAATACCCCAGACGTTCATTTTTGCCCTGCTGCAGTGTGATAATGCCATCCAGGATAATATTTTTGTATTGGGAGTAGTTGGGATTATGCACAAAAATACATTAAAATGAACATTCTAGAAGTGTGCTGCCAACATGCCTGAGCCTTGCTGTGTTCTTGGTGTTTATTTTTGGTCTTTTCCCTGCTTGGGCAGCTCTGGAGCCTCTGTTTTGCTTCCTCCCCCTGCTGACCAGCCCAAGTGTTTAGGGATTAACCCAAGATGTTTTATGGATTAACCCAGGATGTTTTAGGGATTAACCCCGTCAAGCAGGTGGGGTTTTTTTGTGGGATGGCACTGAGCTGGAGCCCTGGGGTGTGTGACAGAGCTGTCCCTCCTGCAGAATCTGTTGTCCTCGCTACGGGGAGAGGAGGCAGACGGAGAGCGACTGGGGCAAGCGCTGCGTGGACAAGTTCGACATCATCGGCATCATCGGAGAGGGGACGTACGGGCAGGTCTACAAAGCCAAGGACAAGGACACAGGTGAGCACGGCCCCAGGGAAATGCCACTCTCAGCTCCCTGCCAGTGCTGCTCTGCCGGGCTCGGCTGTCACTTGTCTCTGCCCCAGCACGGGAGAAGGTGGTTCTGGGCAGGCCGTGCTTTGAAGGAGGAGTCTGGACTCTTGCTTTTAGGTCTTCAGTTGAGTTTATTGTTGCTTATCTACAAAGTTTTTCTGTCTGTCCAGCCGAGGTCTGATCAGCAAGGCAGCCAAGGGCACTCTCTCCCACCCACGGGGTCTCTTTTATAGTGAAAACTACGTATTAGATATTTACCTTCAATTTCCAATACTTTCTGCCTTTGTTGGCAAGTGCACCTTCACCATGAACCAATCCACACATGCCAACGTCATCCTGAACATGGATGCCAAGGAGAAGAAAGAAGAAGGACAGGGCATGCCCAAATCCCCCCATCTTGGGACTCCTGATCCATGCACAGAATTCCAGACCCCCCTGTACAACACATAAAACCCCCCTGTACAGTGCATTCTAACTTAAGTTCTAGCAAGTGAATAACATCTCCTCACCATTCAAACCTGAAATTCTCTCATTTCCTCACCTTCAGGTGTCATTTCTTTAAAAGGATCAAAGTCAAGCCACCAGGTACTTTTGGCAGCATTCCAGGGCCTCCGAGCCCCCCAAGGGTTGTCTCGGTAGCTCTGGACATCCGGAGTGATGTGCTGAGTTCCCACACTGCCCCACAGTGATAAACACCTGCAGGGTCAGAAGTGACTCCAGCTCTTCCAGCGGGTGTTTTCCGAAAGGGGCACGAGAGCAGCGGCTCTGGAATCTTGAGTTTAGTGCCCAGGTTCCTGTTCACTAACAAACCACACCCCAGGGCACAACATCTCCTGTTCACTCTTGGTGAGATGTTGTGCCCTGGGGTGTGGTTTGGTGCCTGGGCAGAAGGTTGTGGTGGCCACTGAACCCCTGCTTTTTAGATTGTCAGGTGTTATTGCAGCACAGCTTGGGAAATTCCAGGGTAAACTTCTGTTCCCCCTTTGTAGTGGAGTGGTGTTGGATTAAGCCCTTTTCTGACCCAGAGATGGAGCAACTGAGAGGGGTTTTAAAATCTTTCATTCTATTTTCAGTCTCCAGAGATGGGTGAGATAATACAGATGTTATAATTCACACCATCACAATCAGAGGGAAACTATTTCTTAATTACAATATACTATAATTATTTCTTGGCTTATCATCTTTTGCCACCCCATACTGTAAATGCCTTAAAGCAAATAATCTAAAATTACTCTTTGTGGGTCTTATGACAATGCATCTTTCATAGTTCTACTTCTCCAAAGTATCTAGTGTTATTTATAAGGTCTCTACCAATCCATTTCTCACAGAGCAGGTTGGGAAGAGCACGGGTGTCAGGTGAGAGCTCCTAGCAGAGCGACTGAACCAAAATGAGCAGGGACATCCCCTAGTGGGCATTTTCCCTGCTTGGGGCTGCTCCCAACTTCCCTGGGGATGCAGGTGAGCAGTGTGTGACCTCTGTGCCCTGCAGGTGAGCTGGTGGCTCTGAAGAAGGTGCGCCTGGACAATGAGAAGGAAGGGTTCCCCATCACAGCCATCCGCGAGATCAAAATCCTGCGGCAGCTCATCCACCGCAGCGTGGTCAACATGAAGGAGATCGTCACGGACAAACAAGATGCACTGGATTTCAAGAAGGACAAAGGTACAGCTGGCTGCTGGGCTGGTTTCTGCTCACCACAGGTGTGATGCAGCCCCTTGGTTTGGTGTTAATTCGGCTCTGGGCTGGGTTTGTTTCTCTGTGTTCCTCCTGCGGTTGGATGTGGCGCTGGCCTCACCTCAAAGGACAGGTTCCAGTTGGAGTGAGTTGATCAAAGGATGGTTGCATTCCTGCAGACTCACAGGAGAGCAGTCTTTAAAAAAAAGCCTTTTTAATACTGATTAGTGGCAACAAACTTACTAGTAGTGTGAAAAGTTCTTTGTGCTCAGCCACTGTGGATAAAGAGTTTCAGCATCCCACTGGCTCTTGTTTGGGATCTTCTCTTCTGGGAGAGAGAAGGGAACAGCCCAAACACAGGTTCAAGCCATGCATGGTAATCCTTCAACAAATTCTTGTAAGAAAATAACCAAAGCATGAAGGGAAATGTGGCCAGAACTTCAGAGGAATTTATTTTGAGTGTTGTTTCATTTCAGATCTCAGTTTGGTGGGGCTGCTTTGTTGTTTTGGGGCTTTTTTTACCCCTTGAGGGAAAAGGACACCCAGTAAGTCCAAGACAGCACAGGACTGTAAAATAAAAAAAAAAACAACTCCAGCAGAACTATGCACAACAAAAACTCTTCCAACAATTTAATCTCCTTTCATTCCTCCTCTTTTTTGTGTCTCTCCTTTTGTTTTCAACCATTTCTCTGTTTATTATCCCAGGTGCCTTTTACCTTGTGTTTGAGTACATGGACCATGACCTAATGGGGCTGCTAGAATCTGGCTTGGTACATTTCTCAGAGGACCATATCAAGTCTTTCATGAAACAGTTAATGGAGGGTCTGGATTACTGTCACAAAAAGAATTTCCTTCATCGAGACATCAAGTGCTCCAACATCTTACTGAACAACAGGTAACCAGTTGTAGAATCTTGGCCCTAATTACAACCAAATATCTCAATATCCACTTAAAAAAATCTGTGACATTGGCCTGCTGGGAAGGGTTTGTGATACAGATGACACTGAATTATTGGTGAGTTTTTGGGATTTTTTTAACATTTTATTTCTTCAAAGCATTCAGTCAGAAGTGGAGAATTAAGCCTGGCATATCCAGCAGTAATTCCTGCAAATGTGGCTTTGTGAGGCTTTTCTGCTGCTTGGAGGGGTTTCCTCACCCTTTAACTGAGGTTTAAGTAGGAGTTGGGTTCTGATGGTCCCTGACAGCTCAATGTATTCCATAATTCTGTATTTTAAACGTGATTTAAACCAGGGGCTGTTTTTTTGTCTTTCAGTGGGCAGATCAAACTTGCAGACTTTGGGCTCGCCCGACTCTACAGCTCAGAGGAGAGGTGAGGAAGGGGAAGGGGTTTATCTGGGTGGGATGGCTTCTTCTCCTTAGTTATCCACACAATCCCTCACTTGGAAGTGAAATCATTTTCGTTGGTATCACCCAGTTCCAGTTGTTAGACAGATACACTCCTGGCTGGTTTTAATAACTTTTAATTAGAAGAGCAGCTCAGAAGGACCCCAAACTTCTTCTCTGCTTGCTTTGACCTACCCTGGAGTGAATTTTGCTCCAAGCTCAGTCACCATTCAGTGATGGCAGCCTGCTGAGGGTCAGGGATTTTCAGCCTTGTGTACCTACAGCAAGTCCTGATTCCTGTGAAATCCATGCTGCCTTCTCAATTTTTAACTCAGAAGTGCAGTTTCACTGCACTTGAACCACCCTACTGCCAGTGAAATCCATGCTGCCTTCTCAATTTTTAACTCAGAAGTGCAAACACTTAAAACACCCCTGTTGCCACCAACAGGCGTAAGTGCAGCTGGGAAACAAAATGGAGCAATTTTCAGGGTTTTGTGGCTCTTGGGATGAGTTTTTATTGGTTTTTTTTTGCTTTGCAGCCGTCCCTACACCAACAAAGTGATCACGTTGTGGTACCGACCCCCGGAGCTGCTGCTCGGGGAGGAGCGTTACACCCCTGCCATCGACGTGTGGAGCTGTGGGTGAGTGCTGCTGCCCTCCCTGCCCTGTGCCAGCTCCTCAGCACTCCCCTGGCAGCTGCTCCTTCGTTTGTGCCAGGTCCCACAGCTGCATCTGTGCCAGCCATGCAGGATGAGGCAGGGAGATGTCACAGTGAGGGATGGGAGTGTGCCCCCTCATCCAAACCACTTAGTAAAAACTCCTAGAATGAGGTTTTCCTTGGGTTTGAAATGAGAAAGGATAAAAAACCCAGCATTTTCACTGTTTAAAATGCATACCAACCTGATATTGATACACCCTTGAGATCAAGAGGGGTGACATTTGCCCTGTGCTGCTCACTCCTTCAGTGTGTTTTTTAGAGAATTTTTCTCTAAACTCTTGAAGTTGCAGTTTGCCACTAATTTATTTTTTTTTCAGCTAAAACATTTTTAAGTAGATATTTCAGATTTTAGGAAGTTCCAGTAGTACAGAAAGCCCAGGGAGCAGGAGTCTGGGCAGTTCAGCCACAAAGATGGAACATTTTTCCAAATGATTCAGAAGCAAATACTGGAGGATTCAGCAGTAGAACTGAGGCTGGATTCCCCACAGTGAGCACTTCCCACTGGGATGTTCCAGCTAAACTTTGTTATAACACAAAGACAGGTTGGGCAAACTAATAATTAATTATAATTACTGACTGTGAGGCCCAGTTGCTGCTCAGTTCCCATTCCAGCCAGGTGCCTGCATTTCCCCAGCTGCTTCTGGCACTGTTTCCTGGTGGCTGAAGGAGAGATGCTGAGGGCTGCAGGAGTCAGAGGTGCTCCCTCTGTGCTCTCTTTCCCTCCCAGCTGTACAAGAGCTCTGTGTGCACAAACCCATCTCCTCTGCTTGCCCTGACACCTTGGACCAGCAGAGAGAAGTTGAAAACCCAAACAAAAGCTGAACCTGGAGGAAAAATGAGAGCTCTGGGCTCTTTTCTCTTGTCACATTGACACATCCTCCATTCCCTGCAAAGAGTTAACCTGTCAGGGGCTTCCTGCACGCAGCAGCCACTTGCAGGAGGTGATTCCCAGGAGGCCAGGGCTGGGGACTCTGTACACACAGGTCACTTTGTCACTACAAGCCCTGATGCAAATCACTCTCCTCAGGCAAAGCACAAACGCGGCCGTGTTGAGACGCTCATCCCCAGGGTTTGCTGTCGTGACCTCTTGCTTTTCCTCCTTCCAGCTGTATCCTCGGGGAACTGTTTACAAAGAAGCCTATTTTTCAAGCCAATCTGGAACTGGCTCAGCTTGAATTAATCAGGTAAAGCTTTGCACATGCATGTCTGTGAAGGGAGGTGCTGCAGGAGCTGCTCGTGCACACAGGCAGGGAGTTAGAGGAGCCCTTGTTCTCTAACCTGACTGGAAAACAGGGCCAGGAATGCAAATGGGAATAATCAGGTGTCCACACCTACACCAGGTGTGTGGTTGCTGATTTATGTGGCCTCAGTAAACCTTGCTGTTTGCTGAGTCAAAAAATCACCAACCTGAATTACTTCTCACACTGGAAGTTTTAATCCTGGCATGATTTGGGGTGGAAGGGACCTTAAATCCCACCCAGTGCCACCCCTGCCATGGCAGGGACACCTTCCCCTGTCCCAGGCTGCTCCAAGCCCTGTCCAGCCTGGCCTGGACACCTCCAGGGGTATCAAGTCCACAGCTTCTCTGGACAACCTCTGCCAGGTAAAAATACTAAAAATTAGTGAGTTTGGGAAGTTTAAGTAAGAAACATTAAGATTTTAAACTTTGTAGTAAGAAAAATAAAATGTCATTGTTTAGAGTGATTTATAAACTCAAGCTCAACATTTTCCTCTTCCTGACACCTCCTTTTTTAACAGCTCATCTGAGCTGTGCCCAGCCCTGGGTTTTTCCTGCAGCAGGTTGAGAAAGGTGTTTTCCCTGGGCTTGGTGGCTCTGCTCCTCCTGGCTGAACCTCGAGTGCTGTGTCCAGTTCTGGCCCCCCAATTTAGGAGGGGGTGTTCAGCCTGGAGAAAAGGAGACTCAGGGGTGCCCTCATCACTGCAAAGCTCCTGAGAGGTGTCCGTGCTCAGCTGGGGCTGGGCTCTTTCTCCAGGAACTGACACAACCACAGGACACAGCCTTGAGCTGAAATTCAGGTTGGATATCAGGAAAAAGTTTTTTCCAGAAAGGTGATAAAGTTCTGGAATGTTCTGCCCAGGGAGGTGGTGGAGTCACCATCCCTGGGTGTGTTTAACAAAGCCTGGACTGGCACTGGGTGCCAGGGTTTATTGAGCTGTTGGGGCTGGATTGGACTCCATGATCTTGGAGAGCTCTTCCAGCCTGGGGATTCTGTTCTGTTCTTTGTGCTCACACCATTCCCACAAGGTCATTTCCTCTGGAGTGGCCACCAGGGACACCAGGACAGGAGGACACAGCCTCCAGCTGTGCCAGGGGCAGTTTAGGTTGGCCATCAGGAAAAAATCCTCCACAGCAAGAGGGACTGGGCACTGGAATGTGCTGCCAGGGAGGTGGGCACGGCCCTGAGGTGTTTAACCAAGGCTGGACTGGCACTGAGTGCCAGGGTTTGTTGAGGTGTCAGGGCTGGGCTGGACTCCATGATCTTGGAAGGTCTTGAAGATCTTCCAACCCAATGATTGTGTGAATTGTGTGAGTTCCCTGGCTGACTGTGCTCCCTGCTCCCCAGCCGGCTCTGTGGGAGCCCCTGCCCAGCTGTGTGGCCAGATGTCATCAAGCTGCCCTACTTCAACACTATGAAGCCCAAGAAGCAATACCGGCGGCGCCTGCGCGAGGAGTTCTCCTTGTGAGTCGGGCTGGGCTCCCTGTGCCCTCCCCCAACACCTCACCCACCTCCAGAGAGCTTCCCTGGGGCTGGGGACTGCTCTCCTGGAAGTGTGGCATCTTCAGGGGGATGTTCTTCATGGGGTTTGGCTCTGGGATGATTTTGTGGGAATTGTGGCAGAGGTGCTTCTCATAAATGGCAAAATACAGAGTGGAAATATGGAATATCATCAGCTGGAGGGGACCCACAGGGATCATCCAGTGCAGCTCCAGGCCCTGCACAGACACCCCGAAAATCCCACCCTGTCCCTGAGACTGTTGTCCAAACACTCCTGGAGCTCTGGCAGTGCCCATGCCCTGGGGGGAGCTCAGTGCCCATGCCCTGGGGAGCTCAGTGCCCATTCCCAGGGGGAGCTCAGTGCCCATCCCCAGGGGAGCTCAGTGCCCATCCCCAGGGGAGCTCAGTGCCCATCCCCAGGGGAGCTCAGTGCCCATCCCCAGGGGAGCTCAGTGCCCATCCCCAGGGGAGCTCAGTGCCCATCCCCAGGGGAGCTCAGTGCCCATCCCCAGGGGAGCTCAGTGCCCATCCCCAGGGGAGCTCAGTGCCCATCCCCAGGGGAGCTCAGTGCCCATCCCCAGGGGAGCTCAGTGCCCATCCCCAGGGGAGCTCAGTGCCCATCCCCAGGGGAGCTCAGTGCCCATCCCCAGGGGAGCTCAGTGCCCATCCCCAGGGGAGCTCAGTGCCCATCCCCAGGGGAGCTCAGTGCCCATCCCCAGGGGAGCTCAGTGCCCATCCCCAGGGGAGCTCAGTGCCCATCCCCAGGGGAGCTCAGTGCCCATCCCCAGGGGAGCTCAGTGCCCATCCCCAGGGGAGCTCAGTGCCCATCCCCAGGGGAGCTCAGTGCCCATCCCCAGGGGAGCTCAGTGCCCATCCCCAGGGGAGCTCAGTGCCCATCCCCAGGGGAGCTCAGTGCCCATCCCCAGGGGAGCTCAGTGCCCATCCCCAGGGGAGCTCAGTGCCCATCCCCAGGGGAGCTCAGTGCCCATCCCCAGGGGAGCTCAGTGCCCATCCCCAGGGGAGCTCAGTGCCCATCCCCAGGGGAGCTCAGTGCCCATCCCCAGGGGAGCTCAGTGCCCATCCCCAGGGGAGCTCAGTGCCCATCCCCAGGGGAGCTCAGTGCCCATCCCCAGGGGAGCTCAGTGCCCATCCCCAGGGGAGCTCAGTGCCCATCCCCAGGGGAGCTCAGTGCCCATCCCCAGGGGAGCTCAGTGCCCATCCCCAGGGGAGCTCAGTGCCCATCCCCAGGGGAGCTCAGTGCCCATCCCCAGGGGAGCTCAGTGCCCATCCCCAGGGGAGCTCAGTGCCCATCCCCAGGGGAGCTCAGTGCCCATCCCCAGGGGAGCTCAGTGCCCATCCCCAGGGGAGCTCAGTGCCCATCCCCAGGGGAGCTCAGTGCCCATCCCCAGGGGAGCTCAGTGCCCATCCCCAGGGGAGCTCAGTGCCCATCCCCAGGGGAGCTCAGTGCCCATCCCCAGGGGAGCTCAGTGCCCATCCCCAGGGGAGCTCAGTGCCCATCCCCAGGGGAGCTCAGTGCCCATCCCCAGGGGAGCTCAGTGCCCATCCCCAGGGGAGCTCAGTGCCCATCCCCAGGGGAGCTCAGTGCCCATCCCCAGGGGAGCTCAGTGCCCATCCCCAGGGGAGCTCAGTGCCCATCCCCAGGGGAGCTCAGTGCCCATGCCCTGGGGAGCTCAGTGCCCATTCCCTTGGGAGCTGTTCCAGTGCCTGAGCACCCTCTGGGAGGGAAAAAACCTTTCCCAAACCCCAGCCTGAACCTCCCAGGCACAGCTCCAGCCTCCCCACACCTGGTACTGCCCTGCTGCTGCCTTTGAGCTGCTGCATCACAAGAAATGAGCTCTGGCTGTGTGAATTCCCCTTAGGCCTGAGGTGTCCTCCTGCCACTGAGCTTTTCCCACACGTTTTCCATGAGCTCATCCATGTTTCCCACCCTCCCCACAGCATTCCCTCGTCTGCCCTGGACCTGCTGGACCACATGCTGACGTTGGACCCTGGCAAGCGCTGCACAGCAGAGCAGGCCCTGCACAGTGACTTCCTGAAGGACGTTGACCTCAGCAAAATGGCACCTCCAGAGTAAGTCCCAGCTGCCATCCCCCTCTGGGAGCTTTGGGATGGAAACATGGTGTTCTTTTCAGTCAAAATTATGATTTCTGGGTTGTTCTCTCAACTCTGCCCTTGTATTTGGTTATGTGGTTGAGCAAATGGCTTTTCCTGTGCTGATGGTTTTCTCTCTGATGACAGGCTGGGTTTATAAAGCCCAATTTAATGTTTGTAAGATGCTCTAAAGCTCTGCTGGAAGATGTACAGGAGTAGATGAAGCACAGCCCTGTCTCTGCCATGGAGAACTGCTCAGGCCTAATTAAGGCTGTGTGTTAATTGACTGCCAGAGTTGAGCAGTGTCCCTCAGTTTTCTTCCACTCCAATCAAGCAGATGATAAAACCATGACTGGTTTGTGTGAAAATGCAGCCACAGCTCTGGAGATCCCTGTTTCTTTCCCTGTTTCTCAAGGAAGGGCCTTTCCTAGCAGTCCCAGACTCCAGAGCTTGGAGCACCCACTGGTTTTGTGTGCCTGCAGTGAGATCCCAGCACATTCAGGGGTCAGGTCCCAGTGCAAAGTAAATGATTTTTACACTGCCTTTCCTGGCTTTAGGACCTGCCCCTTCCTGTGATAGTCTGGCTGCAGTCATGGATCATGGAATCCCAGGATGGTTTGGTTGGAAGGGACCTTAAAACTCATCCAGTCCCACCCCTGCCATGGGCAGGGACATCTTTCAGTATCCCAGATTGGTCCAACCTGGCCTTGGACACTTCCCAGCTTTTCTGGGAAATCCATTCCAGCCTTCAGCACCTTCACAGGGAGGAATTCCTTCCCAAAAACCCTTCCTAAGTCCATTTCTCCATCTGTAAAAGTGGAGCAACATGACATGGATCTACAGAGTTGCATCCTGCAATGGTTTAGGTGGGAAGGGACCTTAAATGCCACCCAGTGCCACCCCTGCCATGGGCAGGGACACCTTCCACCATCCCGGGGTGGCTCCAAACCCCATCCAAGCTGCCCTTGGCCACTTCCAGCAATCCACAGGGGCAACACCATCTGCGCTAAGGGCTTCCTGTGGGTTTGGAGATTCCCTTGGTTTCCCTGCCACGTTTTTCTCTCTCTTGCAGCCTCCCCCACTGGCAGGATTGCCACGAGCTGTGGAGCAAGAAGCGGCGGCGGCAGCGGCAGAGCGGGATGGCCGTGGAGGAGCCTCCGGTATCAAAAGTTTCTCGGAAAGAAACTACCTCTGTTACAAGCACAGACACTGTGAAAAACAACAGCAGTCCTGTGCCCCCCCAGCCTGCCCAGCTCAAAGCAGAGCCTGGTGCTGCAGATGCAGTAGGTCAGTGCCCACCTGGGTCTGGAAAAGGCTCCTGGTGTGTTCCCTCCCTGGGAGTGGGAGGTTTGGGTCTGATTTTAAGTCAGTCTGGTTCTTTCACCTCTAATTCTGCAGAAAGGGCATTCCAGGCTCTTCCTGTCCTCATTTCTTTTATTCTTTTTTTTTTTTTCTCTCTGCTGTGAAAACGCAGAAGGTTCTGTCTGGTCTTCAGAAGTCACTGATGAGCTGACTGTGAATTTGTTCTGAGCTGTGTTATTAGTTCTAAAAGAGGCTGAATGATGAAAGGGGTCGTTGAGTCACTTCAGCCAGTGGAGAAACAAATCATAGGAATCATAGGCTGGAAGGTGGAGCCACGTCCAGGGTGTGCAAATGAGCTGAAGTTTGATCTTGTTGATAAATTATATGAAGATCAGGGGTGGGAAGTGTCAGGCTGGTGGGCAAAAATGAACATTTTTGCACTTTGCTGCAGAAAAGGTCATCCAGACTGGCAGGACCTGGACTTGTGCACTGTTCCAAGCAGTGACCAACTCCCTTGTGCCCAGAAAATAGTTGGAGGGGAGGAATGTGGATTTCCACAAAGCTGCCCTGATTGTTCTGTAGAAGCCTTACAAAAACCCAGATATGGGCTGAGGCTTCCTTTGTGTCCAATGCTGTGCTGACAAGTAACGAGGAAGACAGTTCTTGCTCCAGGGAATGCACAATCCATGTGTTCAGTGAAACATGGCAGATGGACAAAAGGTGGTGCTTGGATTAACAAACAGCTGGGAAAAGAATGTCCCGTTCTCCATTGCCTACCAGCAAGAGAAGCTCCATTTTAAGCTGCTGAAACCAAACCCTTGCACCCTTATTCCCAAAAAGTTCCAGCCTCACTGTCAGTGTGAAGGGACACCCTTGTCACTTGTCATTGGGCTGTGAAGGGAGGTGATGCCACTCCCAGGGTGTATTTTAGGATAACCTGGATCCTTGCAGGTCAGGACAGAGTGCTGTGATCCCAGGCCAGCTCCCAGCAAGGAATTGCCTTCTGCTTGACCTAATTCCTTGTGCTGTGTCAGGGAACACGCCCTTCCTGCATCCCAAAGAGCAGCTCAGCTCCATCCTGGGAGTCCTTCCTGGTGCAGGAGGGAGTGATTTGGGTCTGTGGGGATCTCAGGAGGGGCCAAGCTGTGATTGCCCTGCTGGGGGCTGGGGGCTTGCACTGCCATCCTCACCCATTCCCCCTCACCCCCCTGCCATAGCCTGCTATCCTTGGGCTGCCCCCACTTCCCAAAACCAGGGATGGGCAGTTAGGCCTGGCTGAGCTGATTGTGAGCAGAGCCAGGTGTGCTGTGGGTTTGGGAGGGCTGGGGGCAGTGCAGCAGAGCTCTGTGGGTGCAGTGTGTGTGCAGTACCACGGGGTGCTGCTGCCGTGCCACCGGAGCCGGCACCGCATCCCGAAATCCTCCCGGAGCATCCCTGCCTTCCCCCAGCCTGGGGACACAAACAGAGGCTCTTAAAGTGCTGTGGGATTTGGGGGAGGGGTCTGCAGTGCTGTGGGATGTGGATTTTGGCTGTGGGATGTGGAGAAGGAGTGTTCCTGGCTGTGGGATGTAGAAAAGGGGCGTTCAGTGCTGCGGGATGTGAAGACAGGATGTTCAGTGCTGTGGGATGTGTCCCTTGCTGTGGGACATGGAAAAGGGGTGTTCAGTGCTGTGGGACATGGAAAAAGGGTGTTCCTTACTGTGGGACATGCAGAAAGGGTGTTCATTGCTGGGGGATGTGGATCATGGCTGTGGGATTTGGGGAGCAGGTCTTCCTGGCTATGGGATATGGGGAAGGGATGCTCCTTGCTGACAGATGTGGATCTAGGACATGGAGAAGGGGTGATCCTGGCTGTGGGATGTGAAGAAGGGGTATTTATTGCTGTGGGAATGTAGACCATGGCTCTGGGACATAGGGAAGTGATGTTCCTTGCTATTGGACATGGAAAAGGGGTGTTCATTGTTGGGTGACATGGATCATGGCTGTGGGTCATGGGAAACAGGTGTTCCTGGCTTTGGGATGTGGGTATGGGCTGTTCCTGGCTTGGGATTTGGGGAGCAGGTCTTCCTGGCTATGGGATATGGGGAAGGGATGCTCCTTGCTGACAGATGTGGATCTAGGACATGGAGAAGGGGTGATCCTGGCTGTGGGATTCATGTCATGGCTGTAGGATGTGGATCATGGCTGTTCCTGGCTGTGGGACATGGGCAAGGGCTGTTCCTGGCTGTGGGGTGTGGGGAAGGGCTGTTCATTGCTGTGGGATGTGGATCATGGCTCTGGGATGTGGGCAAGAGCTGTTCCTGGCTGTGGGGTGTGGGTAAGGGCTGTTCCTGGCTGTGGGGTGTGGGGAAGGGCTGTTCAAAGCTGTGAGATGTGGATCATGGCTGTGGGACATGGGGAAGTGCTGTTCATTGCTGTGGGATGTCAATCGTGGCTTTGGGATGTGAGGAAGGGCTGTTCCTGGCTGTAGGGTGTGGAGAAAGGCTGTTCATTGCTGTGGGATGTCAATCTGGGATGTTAGGAAGGGTTGTTCCTGGCTGTGGGATGTGGATCATGGCTGTAGGGTGTGGGTAAGAGCTGTTCCTGGCTGTGGGGCATGGACCTGGCTGTGGGACATGGATATGGGCTGTTCCTGGCTGTGGGACATGGATATGGGCTGTTCCTGGCTGTGGGACATGGATATGGGCTGTTCCTGGCTGTGGGACATGGATAAGAGCTGTTCCTGGCTGTGGGACATGGATATGGGCTGTTCCTGGCTGTGGGGTGTGGGGAAGGGCTGTTCATTGCTGTGGGATGTGGATCATGGCTCTGGGATGTGGGTAAGAGCTGTTCCTGGCTGTGGGACGTGGGGAAGGGCTGTTCCTGGCTGTGGGACATGGGGAAGGCCTGTTCTGGCTGTAGGACATGGGGAAAGGCTGTTCATTACCACGTGCAGTACCACCATCCCAACCCTCACCCCTCCTCGGTGCTCCCCGTGTGTCCCGCAGGCCTGGGCGACATCACGCAGCAGCTGAACCAGAGCGAGCTGGCCGTGCTGCTGAACCTGCTGCAGAGCCAGACCGACCTGAGCGTGCCCCAGATGGCCCAGCTGCTCAACGTCCACTCCAACCCCGAGATGCAGCAGCAGCTGGAGGCTCTCAACCAGTCCATCACGGCCCTGACGGAGGCCACGGCGCAGCACCGCGAGCCCGCGGCGCCGGCGGCGGCAGAGGAAGCCATAGAGGAGCCTCCTGCAGAGGTGCCCGAGGAGCAGCAGACTCCAGAGGTAGCCAGCGCTCAGGGAGACATGCAGAACGTGCTGGCAGTTCTGCTGAGTCAGCTGATGAAGAGCCAGGAGCCTGGGATAACCCTGGAGGAGAGCAACGGGGAGAAGAGCAGCGAGCAGCGGGGGCCCAGGAAAAGCCCGGCGAGGCATCCCGAGGAGAGCACAGGTAAATGATGAACACACCTGATGTGAGCACAGAGAGCATCCCAGAGAGTGCTGCTGGTTGAGCTGCAGCCAGGAATGAGAGCTTGGAGTGGATGGGAGGAGGGAAGGGGGTAGGATGTGGTTGGACATCAGGAGGAAAGACCCTGACCCCCTCCCTGCGGTAAGTGCTGGACTGCTCAGGAGGTTGAACAGCTCTAAACAGCCCAAACAGGCAAATATTACCCCAAAATCCATGAGTGCTCCACTGTGAGTGGGCCAGTGAAGGTAATTGGAGGTTTTGGGGTTTGCCCAAAAATGCAAGGGAAGTTTGGAGGGTCGGTTCTGCCTCAAACCCCCCCAGCAATCAGTTTGCACGTCCAGGGAGTTTTTTTGCTGCACCTCTGCATTTTTTCCCAGCTCTTTTTCACCATCCCCTCCCTGCCCTATTAAATAAATAAATAAACAAACCTGCAGAGATGATTTTAAAAAGCTGAAATAGTGGTGAGTGCTGAAGGGAGGGATAATGGCAGCTGTGTGGGTAAAACCTGAGCATCCCCAAGTGCCTGGTTCTACCTGGAGCTCATTTTTGAGCCCTGAAACTCAGCAGCTCCTAAAGCTGAACCAAAACTGCTGCTTCTTATAGTGAGACTTTAAAACCCCCTGCTTGTATCAGTGAGCTCTCGGATTTCCTTTCCAAAGGTGAGTGTAAATGTCTCCATGTCTTTTTTTTTTTTTTTTTTTTTTTTTTGTTTCTGTTGATTTTTTGAATTTATTAGCAACAGCCTGTGACGACCTCACCAAATTGTAGAAGCGCCTCCTGAGTTTGTCTCAGACTCTCCGGGGAGCCTGTTTTGGCCCGATCCCACCTCCTGCAATGTAGCTGAACGTGCTGTGTTCTCGTGCCTTCAACACCCGCCCACCACGAGCCAGTTGTGATCGTGCTTTTTTTTTTTTTTTTTTTTTTTTTTTTTTTTTTTTCCTCCTTTTTTTTTTTTTTTTTTTTTTCTCCCCCTTTTTTTTTTTTTTTTTTGTTGTTGTTGCCCTGGTCCTGGAAGATAACTAGGTTACTGTAGAGCAGATGGAATTCGATGCCGTTGTTCTCTGTTGATAATTCTTTGGAATGATTTGCTGTCCCCCAGATCAGCTTGGCTTTACAAATTTTACCTGAAGATTGTTTTTGGGGTTTTGTTTTTATTTTTTTTTTCCCGTTGTTGTTTTATTTTTCCGGATTTCAATACAATCTAGTTTTCAAAGTGGACTGACGGATACGGGTGGAGGGGTGGTCCTGGAAGACTACTGGTTTTCACAAATAAAGTTTGACCTTTTTAATAACCAGTTTTGCCAATGATTTGAGGATGTGATTCCAACGAGGTGTCCGTGGGCTCTGCCATCGCCAGTAATTCCTTCCCCCGTGGGCGAGGGAGAGGAGGCAGCTCAGGTGTGTTGCTCCAGAGGAGGCAGGGCTGGTTTTGGGAGTGGAGCAGTGTCCCCTCCCTGCCGTGGTGTCACCTGCCCCGGTGGTGTCACCTGCAGCCGTGGCACTGCCTCAGGGGAGGGTCGGTGCTCTGCTCCCTCTCCCACCTCCTTTGTGCTGGGGCAGAGCAGGGGGGCTGGGGCTGACGGAGCTTTTCCAGGAGGGAAATAAATCCTGATTTGGGAGGAAATCAGGGGTGAAGGGGCAGGGGGGAGGAAGCAGAAGGCTTTTCTCGTGCTCAGGACAGCCTGCAAATATCCGGGTGGGCGAGCTTGTTTTGGACTCTGTTGGCAAGGTCGGGCATCAGGGTGGGTGGGAGGGGACAGGAGCGGGTGTCCCCTGCCCTCGGCGTGCCGAGGGGACACTCAGGAGCTGGCAGCCGTGTGCCGAGCTCGGCTTTGTGTTTGTCCAAGGCAGCACATCCGTGAGCCGCCCCGGAGCCGGGCGGTCCCTCGGGCGGCAGCGGGGGCTCCACATCTGCCTCGGGCTCGGAACGAGCCTGGATCCGGCTGCGGGAATTCCCTGCGCGGCTGCCCAGGTGTTAGGACAGCTGTTCCCGGCGAGTTGGGTGCGCGGGGGCCGGGGCGAAAGCGTTAATGAACATTGTTAATGAACGTTGATCTCCCAGCCCAGCGTTTCAAACTCTTCCCTCCGCCTCTTCCCAGAGCATCCCAGAGCGGGCGGCCTCGGCAAGGGATTGGTTTGATTTGCTTAGAAATGTCTTTGTCTCTGTTTGAAACGCTCTTTAAAAGAAGTCACCCTTCCACAGCGTGTCCTCCCGGCATTGTCCCACCCGAGAAGAGACCCCCCGAGCCCCCCGGACCGCCGCCGCCTCCTCCCGTGCCCGAAGGCGATCTCTCCGGAGCAGCCCAGGAGTTGAACCCGGCCGTGACGGCTGCGCTGCTCCAGCTCCTCTCGCAGCCCGACCCGGAGCCGCCAGCGCCGGAGTTCGGCCGCTCGCAGCCCGCCAGGACTTACAGCACCGACAGCTCCGAGGAGCCCAAGCCGGCCCAGACTCTGCTAGAGCCTCCTGGCCAAGCCCTGGGGAAAAGCAGGACCTTCTTGGGCTCCGTGAGCCACCTCGGGGAGAGCAGCAGCTACCAGGGCACGGGCTCGCTGCAGTTCCCCGGGGACCAGGACCTGCGCTTCGCCAGGCTCCCCGTGGCCATCCAGTCCTTCGGCAAAGCCGAGGGCAGCAACAGCAACGCGCTGCTGCACGCAGAGGCCAAAGTGCAGAGTTACAGCGACTTGGGGCCAGGCGGTGCCAGTGGGGCAGGGACAGGTCACAGCTGGGGTGCCCCAACCCAGGCGCCGCCTTCCTACGGGAAGGCGTTCCGAGGGCCTGGCCGAGTGCCTCCACGGGGGGGCCGGGGCCGGGGGGTTCCCTACTGAGATTCCTGGGATCCCCCCTTGCCTCTCCTCCTTTAGCCACAGGACTTGATTTTTTTTTTTTTTAATTTTTTTAATTTTTTTTTTTGGCCAGAGCAAGGTCTCGTCCGCATTTCAGCTGCTGCAGAGCTCCCTGGGCATCCCTCCCTCTCTCGGGAGCTGCCACAGGGTCCCCACTGGCCTCCCCTGCTTGGTTAGTGACAAAAAATAATCCCAACCCTGCAGCAAACTGAGCCAGGAGAGGGGGGGATTGATGGAGAAGCAGGAATGGAAGGAAAGAGGAATTTCAAAAATGCTGTTTCCCCCAGCTGGGCACTGGAGTTTGTCAGGGAGGGCTGGGGGGAGGCTGCTTCCCAAAGCGGTTTTATTTTTGTTGTTGTTGTTGTTTTGTTTGTTTTCCCCATTTTCTTAAGAAAAAAAAAGAAAAAAGAACAAAGAAAAGGGGAATTTATGGATGCAGAGGCACCTGGATGGGTTATCCCAGCAGTGGGATGTGACACTGGTTGTGTTTGGTTTATCTGATGTTGCTTTCTTTCCATAAAGCATCCGGTTTTCCCCCTGCTCCAGGGCCAGTCCTGTCCCCAGTGGCAGCAGCCTTAGTACATTGATTTTTGGGAAGGGTCTCTGGGTGTTGGATCCCTCCTGCTGTAACTTGGCAGTGGGAATTGTCTTTTTCTTTTTTTGTCTTTTGTTTTAATTTTTTTTTTTTTAAGAGCCGAGGAGAACACCTCCCTGAAAACCAGGGATTTCTGCCGTTTGTAACTTTCAGAACCCTTCAAGAATTGAAAAAAAGGAAACAAAAATCCCAACATCTGGTGGGATTTGCCAGCAGATGGGAGTGATTTGTCCCCAGCATCCTGGGCCAGTGCTGCCCATCCTGCCGAGGTCGGTCGCATCTCAGCCCTTTGAGGTTTTCCAGGTGTTCCTGTGTCATTTCCATGAGCACATTTCTATTTTTGTTGTTGTCAAGGAAGTATTTACGATGGATTTTCTCCTCCCACAGACCCTTGCGCTGTTCATTTCAATGAGACTTAAAAAGAGATGAATAAAACAAAGGTACCTATTTATCAGCTTTTTTTTTTCCCAAGTAGGCCTTTCCTATGGAAAACATTTAATTTTAGAGCCGACAGTTCTGGAGTGTTAAAGGGGAGGGGAATTTTGGGGTGGGCCAAGAGACCTTCTTGCTACTAACAGGATTTAATTTCTTTTTTATACAGAGAGATAAATTTAAATAAATGCACCTGAATAGGTGATGCTTCTCCAGCTGGGGAGATCCTGCCTTACCCAGCTTTGCCGTGGGAGGAAGGAAGGGAGAGAAATTTCAGATATAGATTTATTTTTAATTTTTATTTGCTGGTGATATGCAGGGAGTGGTGGCTCCCAGCACTGAGGGTGCGATGCTGTTTGCAGAATTCCCACTGGAAATTTGTAGGGTTTGGGATTGCTTTGTTGTTGGTTTGATTTTTTTTTTTTTTTAAACAGTTCATGCCTGATGTGCAGAGAGAAAAAAAAGAGAAGTTCTGTGAGACACAGAGTGCACTGAAGGGGCTTTAGGGGGGTTTCATTTCTCTAGTTCCCCTTTTCCTGGCACCAGCCCCAGGCTGCCATGGAGCTGCTGCTGGTTTTTTCTTCCCCAATCCCATCCTCTTTGGAAGGAGAACTCTCGTTCCTGTGCTGAATCCTCTTAGGAAGCTGCTGCCTGTTATTGTCTCCAAACTGGCACATTCCCAGGAAAGCTGCCGGGAACGTCCTCGACCTCCTGCTCCCCGTGCTGGTGTCCTCCTGCCTTTGGCGCCCAAGTTTGGGGTCACCCGTCCCAGTTTGGGGTGGATGGTCCCAGTTTGGGGTCACCGGTCCCAGTTTGGGGTCACCGGTCCCAGTTTGGGGTCACCGGTCCCAGTTTGGGGTCACCGGTCCCAGTTTGGGGTCACCGGTCCCAGTTTGGGGTCACCGGTCCCAGTTTGGGGTCACCGGTCCCAGTTTGGGGTCACCGGTCCCAGTTTGGGGTCACCGGTCCCAGTTTGGGGTCACCAGTCCCACTTTGGGATGGCTGGTCCCACTTTGGGGTGGCTGGTCCCAGTTTGGGGTCACCGGTCCCAGTTTGGGGTCACCAGTCCCAGTTTGGGGTGGCTGGTCCCAGTTTGGGGTGGCTGGTCCCAGTTTGGGGTTGCTGGTCCCAGTTTTGGGTCGCTGGTCCCAGTTTTGGGTCGCTGGTCCCAGTTTGGGGTCATCAGTCCCACTTTGGGATGGCTGGTCCCAGTTTGGGGTCACCAGCCCCAGTTTGGGGTCACCGGCCCCAGTTTGGGGTGACCAGCCCCAGTTTGGGGTCACCAGTCCCAGTTTGGGGTGGCCAGCCCCAGTTTGGGGTGGCCAGCCCCAGTTTGGGGTGGCTGGTCCCAGTTTGGGGTGGCCTTTCCCAGCTGGCCCAGCGAGGGCTCCTGTCCCCTGTCCCAGGGATGGACATTGTTCCATCTGCTCCCTGCCAGCTGCCAGCTGTCCCCAGGGCCCTGGGGCTCCTGTGGAAGGTGATTCCATCATTCCTTTCCCTGAGCCAGCCCAGGGAGGGACTCCTCACCCACCCCCAGTGGCTTTTCCTAACTGGTCCCAGTATGAGCCTTTCCACCCTTGGGACCCCACAGGGTCTGGGGGGAACAGCCTGGCCAGGTCCTGGGGGGCTGTGGGGCCACTCCTGGCTTCTCTTTTTCATTTATTCCCCCCACCCTTTTATTATTTTCATTTTTATTTTACCTTTTTCCCGATGCTGTGCACAAAAGGATCCACGGTGTTGGGTGGGATTTGTGCATTCGGGAGGATTTAAGCTGGTGCAGTTACAGACGAGGGGGTGAGGGCAGCTCCCCCCTCCTTCCCCCCATCCTGGCTCTGGGTTCAATCCCAAATTCTCCCACTGTAGCAGTTCCCAGCAGAGAAGCCTCTGGTCAGACTCTCACTGTACCTCTCCCGAGTTTCCCTCGGAGACCGAGCGCGCCTTTTTTCGGTTGTACCTTTGTCTCTGTACAGATATTTTGTAATATATTAAAATTTTTTTCTTTTCAGTTTATAAAAATGGAGAAGTGGAGATTGGAAAATTAAATATTTCCTGTTACTGTATCTTGCTTGCCTTTTGCTCCGTTGTTTCCCCGTAGCCTTTGGAATCACACGGTAACTTGTGTTTTCCTTGGAAAGCCTTTTATTCCCTCCTGGCGAGAGGGGTGGGATTTGGCATTGCCAGCCTCTGCAAGCCCCCAAATTCCACTCTCTAATTAAGCTCTGAGCCATCATTAGCCCTGGGTTTCCCCCTGCTCAGAGAGGTGTTGGTGGGGCCCAAGCTGGAGCAGGAGATGGTTTGGTTAAGGTGAGAATAGGAAACCCAGAGCTGATAGGAAGGATTGAGGTTGAGATTTGGCCCCAAACCCTCTCCCAGGTTCTGGAGTTCTCCCAGGCAGGAATTTGGGATGGCTGAAGGATTCAGGAAGGTTTGTGTGTGGGGCAGGAATTTGGGATGGCTGAAGGACTAGGGGTGATTTGTGAGCCAGGCAGGAATTTGGGATGGCTCCTGAAGCACTCAGGATGGTTTGTGTGCGGGGCAGGAATTTGGGATGGCTGAAGCACTCAGGATGGTTTGTGAGCCGGGCAGGAATTTGGGATGGGAGCCGTCCTGGAATCTCCTCCTTCCTGCTCGGCTGAGGCTCGGACAGATGATGAGAGGGAGCTGGAGGGGCTGTGGCTCCCCAGCTCCGTCCCCGCCGAGCCCGGCCGCCCCCTCCCGTTCCAGCCGCGGCTTTTCTCGCTCTCCTTTCGCCCGGCTCCGATCCCTGCGCTGACACATCTTAAAATAATATCCCTGTGCAGATGGTGGGGGGGCGGCGCCGGGCGCTTCCCGGTGCCTGGGAAAGCGGGAGCGAGCCCCCAGCGCCCACCCTGATTTATGGAGGGGGCAGCTGGGCCCCCTGCACTCGGCTGGATCCCCAATCCAGCCCTCCTGTCCCTGCCCGCGGCTCGGGGGCCTCACCCGGCTCGGCAGAAGGGACGCGATGCCATCCCCAGATCCATCCCCAGCTCCATCCCATCCCCAGCTCCATCCCATCCCATCCCCAGCTCCATCCCACCCCATCTGTGAGTGTCTGTCCGAAACTTCCCTCCATTTTTGTCATGAAAGCCAAGACCACCGGGGAAAGGAAAAGATCCTGGTCTGAAAATCCAGGTCTGTCTGTTTTTGCACCTTGAGATCAGTGAAAAAGAACCTTCACGAATCACGTCTTTAGGATGGATCGTGTCACCATCCCCAGCTCCATCCCATCCCACCCCATCCCATCCCGATCTTCCCATCCCGCTGCCGCCAGACAAAGCCCCACGTGGCCCCGGCTCCTGCGGCATCCCGATCCAAAGGTGACCAGGCCGTTTTATCCCGTTTAATTTATTTTGGCATTGAACTTCCCCGGCAGCAGCTGCCGTGCCAAATGGCCGGGGGCAGCCCGGAGCCGGCGCTGTAAATCTCCGGCCTTCGGCTCTCCCCGCTTGGATTATTCTCGTTGGAGCCGCGGCTGCTCCATCCCGACGTTCCTGGCTGCTCCATCCCACCCTTCCCGGCTCCACCGGCTCGAAATGTGGGATGTGGCACCGCTCTCCTTCCTCCTCCTCCTCCCCGCGATGCTCTCAGGGCTCCGGGGTTGTGCTGGTGGCACCGTCCAGCCCCGCATTCCGGAGCATCCCGGAGCTCCAGGCAGCGGGGATGGAGATGGAACGCTGAGGAAGATGAGGAGGAGGAGGACGGGGCCTTCCCGTGGAGCAGATCACCCTCATCCCACGGGATCTGTCGGAATCTCCGCCTGGAGCGGGCCCCGCACACGCGTGTGGCAGGGCGCGCACACCTGGGGTGGCACACGCGTGTTCACGCGTGTCCGGGGGGGGTGGCTGTCACCAGGTGTCGCTCTCGGCACGGCCACCACCTCCCACCGCGTCCCCGTCCTCCTCCTCCTCCTCCTCCCCGGCTATATTTGTCCTTCCAGCTGCTCCGGCTGTCGGCATTAAAGGTTTTTCATCCAATTTAGACGTTTCCTTCCAAAAACCCGTTCACACCTTTCCCTGGCATTTGGAAAGGGGAAAAGAAGAAAGGGACTGAGAAGGATAAAACCACAAAAAAAAAAACCAAAAAACAAAAACCCTTGGAGGTGTTGGAGGCCGCGGGTGGGGGATGGACGAGGTGTTGGGGTTGAATTTTGGGGGGAAGGACGGGGGTGCGAGCCCCCCCAGCATTTTCCACCCCATGGCACGCTGCATTTTCCATCCCTTGGCATCAAGACTCCGCATTTTGGCATCAAGACTCTGCATTTCGAGGGCACGGGCGGGTTTTGGGTGGCAGCACGGGCATGGATGGGGTGCGGATTCCTTAGGGGGAGGTGGCACAATCCCTGTGCCACGGGGCCACCTGGCCCTGTCCCCTCGCACTGGCAGCTTGATTAGAGCGGCGGCGCGGGCGGTGGCACAGCTGGTGCCTCCTGCCAGCCCCCGGAGCGGGGAGCGCCCGCCATTAGCGGCTCCAATTAACGGGAACGCGGAGCCCCCGCGGCCCGGGGGGGTCCCCAGCCCCGAGCGACCCCCGGTGCCACCTCCCAGGGACGCGGCAGCCGGGCTGGCATCGCCCACCCCGTGTCGCTGTCCCCGCGCCGAGGCATGGCAGCGCCAACGCTCCTGTGCCGTTCTGCCCAGCCTTGATTTTGGGGACATTCCCCTCGCCTGCCATGTGGGAGGGGACAGCGGGGTGACTCCAGCGAGCACCCGGATGGGGACAGGGCCTGGCACGGCACGCCGGGCGGGCACATCGCCCTCCCCGCTGCCACCGGCGCAGCTGAGCCAGGCGCGGGGGGGGCCGTGCCTGCACGCTTTCACCTGCCATTTAATTGGATGTATTTTTAATTAATGGCGCCTCTGGGACCAACATGAGACAACATGATCTCTGAATAGGGGCAGGGGAGGAACTGGGGCCGCGGGAGGATTGGGCCGCCGGGTGCCCTTACGCGCCAAACGCTGCCATCAATCACCCCCTACTTTTCGGCTCTGCACTCTTG